TTGGCCAGAAATTACTTCTTCCCTATGTTTATACTTAGAAAGAAAAAGTGTCCCTCCTACAGGCATGGGGCTTGTGACTGGCTCCCCCCCTCCCGTCCTGGGTCTTCATAGGCAGACCATGCACTTCCAAGCAAGGGCTTGCAGCGATCAGTCTGGTGGCTTTCTGGAAGGAAGGGCTGACCAAACGTTGCCATAGACAAACATTGGTCGGATGCCTGTTCCACGAAGGGTGTGTAAATTGGAGCCTCCATTGAGACAAAAGTGTCATTTGTTTATTTGTGTGCTTGGGTATCCATGTAGGCCACTGTAGTAGGCCCAGGGGAGAAATATAGCGGCATAGCCTTTACATTTTAGGGGTCTAGACACAGTGGAGCTAAGATGAACATACTCGCAGCAAAGTTATATCCCAGCAGACCAAAGGGATTTCTTGCCCGGGCTGGTGGAAAGGAGTGGGAGGCATGGCTGAGAGTGGAGCAGACGTGGTAGACCACGCTTAATGTCTCCTGGGCACCGAGCCTTCTGAAGGGTCAAAGCGGAGACTCCTTCTCTATCCCCAGACTCAAGGAGTTTACAGCCCAATGAAAGAGAGGAGGCCTGTCCAATACACTGGATACTAGTCCAGGGAGAGGCACGCCCCGAGGGTATGGGGTGTGGCTGGCAGGCACTGTCCAGGTAGCCCCTGCTCATCTGTTCCTCCTACTTCTCAGTGAGCAGATGGTCCCTGGGAGTTATGATGGTTCTAGAAAGTCTCCATTTCCAGCCGCACCTGGCATGGAGACCAGGAAAACTGGCAGTCTCCTTAGCTTTGCATCCTTGTACCTTTCTCTAAACCAGATTCCATAATCTCCATTTTCTAGGTTTCTAAGTGACTTTGATTTTCAATACAGTTACAAGTGTCTTGGGCCTTTTAATTTGACAAAATAGCTTTTAAATAAGGGCAGAGACACCGGAGAAAAGGGCATGATGGATTTTCACCTCATCTCCCCGGCCATTAAACAGCAGACCTTGCTGGTCTGACCACTGGAGCACCGCCGGGGATGGGAGGAGCGTCTGCAGGAGCGGAGGAAAGGGTTTCTAGGAGTCTCCACGCAGGACCCGAGTGTCGGATTCCTCTGGGTTTTCAGTAGGAAGAGCTTCGTGGCCCTGTGCCCAGAAGTGGGCTGTTGTATTTTTGGTTCTCTCTGATCTCTCTGAGTAGGTAAGAATTGCCAGGAGGAAAGATGTTTGTGCCATGCCCCATGAATGTCCTGGGAACGTCTTCATGTCTTCTCTGTCTGTCATGCCCTTTCCCTGTACACACACGGTCACACACAAGGACACACGCAGGATCCTGCAGAGGTACACAGCATGAAGAATGTGTGGCCACTCTGTACGGCCAGGCTTGTGAGGCCACGCAGTGCCCCAGCTTGGGGTTTGGGAGGCTTCAGTCCTGGTTCTGGGTTTGATCCTAGTGTGGCCCTGCACAAGTTGCTTCCCCTTTCACATCTTACGTTTCTCTGTTGTCCTATTAGGTGTGTGACAATACAATCTAAGAGGTTCCTGTGATTCTAAGGCTCTTCCTTTCTGTCTTGTTGGCCTGTCCTAGTATGAGGCAGGGGCTAGAGCTTGACACAGACCAGATCCAATGGTCCCCTGGGCCTAGGCTGGGACATAGAGTGGAAGTGTCAATATGGCAAGTCACACGTTGTGGGGTATTGGGGCCAAAGCTGAAAGTTGAACCCAAATGTGTCCTTCACTAAGCTCCAGGGAGACCATGGGAGCCAGGGAGACCATGGGAGCCAGGGAGACCATGGGAGCCAGGGAGACCATGGGAGCCAGGGTGGCCATGGGAGCCAGAGTGGCCATGGGAGCCAGGGAGACCATGGGAGCCAGGGAGACCATGGGAGCCAGGGTGGCCATGGGATCCAGGGAGACCATGGGAGCCAGGGTGGCCATGGGAGCCAGGGAGACCATGGGAGCCAGGGTGGCCATGGGAGCCAGGGAGACCATGGGAGCCAGGGTGGCCATGGGAGCCAGGGAGACCATGGGAGCCAGGGAGACCATGGGAGCCAGGGTGCGGTGGCTCTGGGGGCTGCACAAGAGGTGGGACACCAAGGAGCCAGGCCCACCATGATGCCTGTGTCTGCAGGTGCCTTTGTTTATTCCTAGGCCCACAGGCACAGGTGGGCTGAGTATTTAAGGGGGCTAGGATGGAGGAATTCCTGACTTTTTCCATTCCATGATGGAAATGAGGAAAAACGACATTTTCCTTTAATGGGCAATATATTTTCCTTTACATTTTCTTTCCTTGGTGACCTTCCAAGTGTTCCAGAATAAAATACACTTAAATTAAACCCAGAATGAATCATTTTAAACACACTTAAACCAAATCCAGGAGGCTTTCAAGCAGAGGTGAGGGACACGATAATTTTTGTAGATGAACCCCAGGACCAAGGCAGCTCCACCAAGGGTGGAGGCAGGAGAGCCTCAAGTTGTCATCTGTGACCATCACTCTCAAAGGAAGAATTGGACTCACTGCACCAACCCTGAGTAGGTGCAAATAAGTCTTCTCTCAAATTCAAAATGGGTAAAGTTGTGAGTTGCTATGGGAAACATGCCCCATTCAGGCCAAGTATCACAGTCAGCTCATCCTTCCCGATTTGATGGTCCCAGTGACTCATCCTGGTAACTAATTTGGAGTTTCTGAAGGTTGGAAAATGTCCCAGTGTAGCTCTTCTGTCCTAATCATGGGTTTTTCACCGATCCATTCGTCCGTCCATCCATTCATCCATCCATCCATCCATCCATCCATCCATCCATCCATCCATCCATCCGTCATTCCATCAAGTCAATATAGCAAACACACTATGAGCATTTGCTCTGTGCTGGGCACTAACTTAGGTGGCGGGGATACGATGGCAGATGGACATTTGTTGGTTTCCTCCTCAGGATTTATTCCCCTCTTTCCTTTGCCGAAAGGCTCTGGTTTAGAAGGGATTGCCTCTCCCCCAGCTCTAGGTGTGAGTCCTTATTCACTGGATCAGTCAATTCCGTTGGCACACAACATCCTCCCAGCAGCTGGGCAGTGATCAGTTTGGTGAAAATCCCATGCCTTAATTCGGGTCCTTAAAAACCAGCAGGAGTCAACCCAAAGACTTGTGTTTGAGATATCTGGTGTGTGGGCCTCTCTCTTCCTCTGGATTAGACCCAAAAGCATGTCTAGGGGGCCGAGGGCTGTCATCTGGCAGCTGCCAGGGAGTCTGCAGAGGGCAGAGCCAATGCCAAGAAAGTTTAGACATGGAGAGTGAGAACGCAGGTCCTGCTCACGTCTCTCAAGCCTTTGAATCAAACTTTGTCTGCCCAATTCAGTTGTGGGGCCCAGTAAATTCCTTCTAATGTTCAAGCCAGTTTGACAGGGGCTCAGTTACTTGCACGTGAGAGCATCCTAACAGGAGCAGGGGCAGCACTTGTGCAGAGATTAAGAGCTGGGATCCCAGGATAAACCAAGACCATGAACCTGTGGCCAGGCTGCTTGGGTTTGAATCCCAACTTCACTTCTCACTTTCTGCATGACCTCCTCATGCCTCAGTCTCTTCATCAGTAAAATGGGAATAATAGTCCTGCCTCACGGGATTGATACAAGGATTAAGTCAGAATGTGAAAGCACTTAAAATGGTGCTTGGCACGAGGTAAATGCCATGTGATTAAAGAAATAGAGTGAGTGAAGTGGTGAAACACACTTGGCTGCCATTCTAGAGGAGGGGCAGTTCTCCTCTGGCTGCTGCCTCCATGGAAAGAAGGGACCAGGTAATGGTAACACCAGTCATCGCAGGGACTCTAAGCTGAGTAAAGATTTCTCAGTGCTTATTGTGAGGACTTTTGAACACAACACACATCTCTGCCATGATTTAAAACCACCAAGTAGCTTTATAACTATGTACATGCGCAACATTACTTTCATCAAGAGTGGACGCCATCCAGCTCACTTAGAACAATGGCAGCATAAATTTCTCATATCACTTCTCTGTGTCTTTTACTTGTTAAGATGTTGTTTGTCTGATATACAACAGGCTATTTCTCTCTCATGTTGACTCATTGTATCTGTAGGCCATGATGACATACTAACTATGTGCTATGGTAGGTTGTCTATAAAGACAACGCAAACGATGTCATGTCTGTTACTATGACGTGGTGTATCTGCCCTAATGATATGCTTGTGTATCACCATGGTAGACGGTGCCTATCACTATGACATGAAGTACCTGTCTGTCAAGGTGTTATTGTAGAATTTTTTCACCATGATGACACAGAATCTCTGTGATGGCGACCTGGTACACCTCTTAGTCACCACAGAATACCTGTCTGTCACTGTGACACCATGTGCACAGGTGTCATTCGTGATGGTATGGTGCATCTCTCAATGGTGGTCATGGGATGTATCTGGCTATACAAATGGCACAGGGCTCCTGCTTTTTTATTTTATATGGTGGATTTCCCAATGTCTCCATAGATCACCCCCAGTCAGTTCTGTGTGGTTTATTATGTGCTGTTTATGCTTTCACTGACCAGCATCTTGTTGGTTGTCTCACCTAATCAAGCTAGTGCTCCAAATATCTGAAATGTCTCCAAACTGAACTCCCCTCCCCCTCATCTGCGGAGCTGCCTCTTTGTCTCAGCAAATGGCCCATCTTATTGATATCATCTTGGACTATCTCCCAAACCTCAGCTTGAGGCTTGTCTGAGTCTCTCCTCTCTTCTCATTCCCTAAACCAATGAGTCACCAAGCCCTATGGCACCATTTCCTAATGATCCCCTAACCCGTCCCCTCCCCGTCACCCCCAGTGCACCCTCCCTGGCCTTCCTGCCCCAGAGCTGCCCCCAGCGAGTGCATTCGCAACCCCACAGCCAGACTCAGGCCTCCAGCACACATTGGTGATGTCGCCTCCTTTTCCAAGACCTGAAAACGTGCAATGGCACTTTACATTTTCCAGATGCAATAAGCTGTCATATTCTCATTCCAGGTTCTCTGGAATTCGACTGCAGCCAGTTTTCATCACTTCTCTCCCAGCACTTCCTTCTGGATTCTCTATTTCGCAGCTGCTAGCTTTGCTGCTTCATTCGTGCCTCTCTGACCACCGGACGTGCCTGTTGCAGGGTGTTGGGGAAGACCATGGCTCTGGTGCTGGGCTGCATGAGTGTGAATATTGGCTCCAAAACCCAAGGAGTCTGTGATCTCAGGTAAGTCACCTGACCCCTCTGTGCCTCAGTTTCTTCATCTGTAAGTGGGATCAACAATATACATGGTTCATAGGGTCTTAGTTTAGATTAAAAGAGTTAATTCATGTAGAAGACTTAGAAAACTGCCTGTTCTCTACCAAGCACTCGGTATGTGTTGTTATGGTTAATTTTTTTTATCCTTCTATCTACATCCAGATTAAATGAAGTCTTCCCTGAATGTCTTTTATCAAGTGTTTCCTAAATACCAAAGCCAGACATTGAATCTTCCATAGGGTCACTCTTATGCATTTATCATATTTTGCCTTATTTGATTGTTATTGTCATGTTTATTCTAATAAACTCTACATTCTTAGAGGTAAAAAAACCCCATATTTTGGTCATTTTTCTCAGCAGCTAGAGCAATGACTAGCACAAAATAAGTGCTCAATAAATATGAATAAATGAATTCATAATTGGTTGCTTCTTATCTTTGAAATGATAAAGATCTGAACTTTTTGATCGCCTGGAAACATTAATTCAGATGGCTCATGGTACATGAAGACAGACTCCTGCAGGTTCCCTAGACAGGGGATGATGAAATATTTAACAGCACAGGCTCTGACCCATCTGAACCAATGCTGGCATAAACCACCAACATGGTGGCACCATGTGTACCCAGCTCAACCATGTATGCCCGAGGCCACCTGTGATAGTGAATGGCATTGTCTTCAGGCTGCTCCCCTCACAATGGTCTCCCAATAGTTCTTGAGACAGAACGTGAGAGATTGTGCTTCTTTTCATCAGAAAGAAAAGCTTTACCCAGAAGCCCCAGCAGATCTCATGTGACATCCCATTGGTCAGAATGTGGCCACAGAAGTGTGCCTAAACCAATTACCAGCAAGGAAAATGCAACCTCCGCGTTAGCTTTTACCAATCAGAATGTATCCCACTCAGGAGGAAGAGGCATGTGGGCAGTGGAACAAAATCAGAGCTCACTCTGCCCGTGTAGAAGGAGGGGCGCTGGCCGCTGGGTAGGGAATCAAAGTTATTTGCCATCTCACTCTTCACAAAAGGGAGAGAGGATCTGCCACCTTACTAAAAAGACCTGTACTTATTTAAATTTTATGTTAAAAACAAATGTCATGAAACAAACCACCCTCGTATGTAAATAAAACTGAATGTGATCCAAGTCCAGGCCAGCCTTTGGGTGGAAATCTCTGCATTTATCATAGAGGTTTACCAGATCAGCACTTCCCAAATCCTAAAAATTATTCAATCATTCGAGCCTTCGGGGTAATTGCTTATGATTTGAGACTAACAAGATAAACATACATTTCTTCAAACACAGCCTATTTCTACTGGCTATAAAGGCATGCAAACAAAATTCTCAGTGCCGGTGTATCTTATTTCTAATTACTCATGGGTCAGTCTTTCAGTGGCTCTCATTATCTATTAGAAAAAACAAAGCAAAAACTAAGAACCTCAGCAAAATGCCCACAGCCCTCTGCAACTGGGCTTGCTCTGACTCCCCAGCCTGGCACCCCCTGAGCCCCTGAGGGTCCTGGCTTTGCAGTCCCGTGGATATACTTGCAATGTATTGGACACATCGTGTTCCTTTTCTTTATTTTTGTTTCTTTGGCCTTTCGTTCTTTGTATATCTGGCAACCTCTACTCATTCTTCAAAGTCTCACTCAAGTATCACCTCCTTTGTCAGAAGCATGACCTTTTTTAGGTTTCCCCAGGCAGGTCCTGGTGCCTCTGCCTTAGTAGGGCCCCAGCCTGAAAGCACCTCTCTGTTAGCGTTGCCATAATTACCTGCTCTGCTGGAATCTGGGCTATTTAAGTCCAGGGGCTGCTCTGCCACTTTCTGCAACCTGCTTCTGGCATAGACCTGGTACAGAATGGGTGTAGGGGTGGTAAATAAATAGTCTCACATGTAAGCTTATAGTTTTCTTAATAAATTAGAGATAACTTGGTGGATGTGTTACTTATTGCCCTCCTTCAAGACATGTCCCAATTTGAGTCTTAGTCTTACCATTTATGAGTAGCTTAGCTACTTGCAAATGGGCACATCTCTGCATATTTACCTTGACGTGTATGTACTAATGGCAGCAAGAACTACCAGCAGATTCATTATTTCCAAATCCTAGTTGTGCTTCTACTGCTAAGGTTAATTATTGATTTGTTTTATTCTGTGATTAAAGCCATTAGCCACTATTAGCAAATGGTGATATTTATGCATGTTTGCATATCAGCTGGGTTGCATTCCACAGCAGGGCCCGGGCTAAATTAGTGCTCCCCAGGACTGACATCTAGCATGGTGACACATAGACTTGCTGAAGGGAGCCAATGATTTTTCCTTGTGACAGAAGGATAAACAGAACTTGATTGACTTTGCTAATTATTTTTCCTGAGCACAGACACTGGCCAGAATTCACCTTTAGTTGAATTTGGCCTCTGTCCTTATCTGATTTTCAATGACCAGAGACTTCTGCGCAGGAGTTGGAGAAAGGCTGAGAAGTCTCCTGGCCAGTGCCTGAGGACTCTGCTTTCAACTTTCCTTCATCAAGGAGGTGGAATGGGTTCATTTTCTCTTTGAAATAGTTGGGAATGGAATTTTCAGATCGGAGCTTGGCTTCACCCAGACACAGCTCCTGCCAATGGGAGGAAGAGACAACTTTTCAAAGCCCTCTCTGAGTAGGCCGTGCCCTTTCCAGCTATGCCCACATTTGGGGAAGGTAGGCCTGGATGTCCCCAGCACCAGTGAAGCCAGGTTTGTGGGTGCAGGGAGCACTGAGACCAGGGTGCATTCCTTCCCTCTCACTCTCTGTTTCTTAAGGAAGGCGAACTATCATAACAACAACGCCCAGATCTCAAAGGCTTAGCTATAGGGGTCCTCAAACGTTTTAAACAGGGGGCTGGTTCACTGTCCCTCAAACTGTTGGAGGGCCGGACTATAGTTTAAAAAAAACAAAAAAAAACAAAACTATGAACAAATTCCTATGCACACTGCACATATCTTATTTTGAAGTAAAAAAACAAATGGGCAAAATCACCCACATGTGGCCCGTGGGCCATAGTCTGAGGATGCCTGGTTAGCATCTCACATCCGATGTGGGTCGCCAGTGGCTGGGAGGGGTGGGGCTCTGCTGCACAGGATCCTCCCTTCTTCCTCCCCTGGCTTCTCTGTGACCATGTCTACACTGGGCAAAGAGAGGGGAACACAGTGCGTGGGGCTCTGTGCGCCGGCCGGGCCCGAGGTAGCACCCGTCCCTCCGCCCGTATTTCCCCCGGCCAGAACGCGAGTCACTCAGCCACAAGGAAGGTGGGAAATGTAGCCCGGCAGCTCGGTCTGGCAAAAAAGAGAAACAATCTGGAAAAGAACTTGCCAGTGCCTACTGTAATCTCCTTTGCTTCTTTCCAGCAGGGTAAGCTAGACACGCCGAGAGGGTTTTCACACCTGGGCCACTTTCTCAGCCTGTCACCCTCTGCTTTGGGGTCACAAGGAAGCCCGCTCCAGGTGCCTCCTTTCCTGGCTGGCCTTCCACTGTCTCCAGGCACAGGCAGGGAAAATAGCTTGCGGGCAGCCCCAGCGGCAGACCTGCATTCCGGGAGATGGAAGGGTGAGTTCCTACCCTGCAGTCCCCAACATGGGGCAGGACCCACCGTAAACATTTGTTGAGTGAATAACTGGCTGATTGAATGATTTTGGTGAACCTAAGGTTCTTGTCATCTGACTTTGACATATATTCATCCTGGAAGGCTCATCTCTTTACCCTTTGCACAAGCCTCCTTGATTGTTATCTACAGTTCATCTTTCCCAGGGAGACGGTTCAATTAAGACACCTCAAAATGAGCCCATGATTCGAAGGTACAGCTGACTGCACTCTGATTAACTTCCTATTCATCAGTCACGGAGATATATGATGGGAATTACCAGGGCAGGCGGAAGGCAGGGGAGGCAGTCTAGTGGGGAAGGGAGAGAGCAGCTGGGAGATCAGGGTTTGGGGGAAAAAGCATATGGGACAAGTGCCAGGAGAGGGGTGCTGTCCCCCAAAGGGGGCGGGGCCCTCGCAGGTGGCACCGGATAGCAGGCATTCTTCTCGGAGCTGTGTATATGATGCCTTAGCACTGGAGCGTCTGACCCCAAAGTTAAATTGAATTTCTTATGATATGAAAAGGGAAATAGACATCAGGTGGGGGAGAAGGCTGGTGACTTGGAGGCTTAACTGAAGGAATTTCCGAGGCCCAGCCTCCCTTGGGCGTCCTGGTCCCAGGATCCGCTTGAGTGTGTGAGTGAGGGTGCCTCCCACTGGGAGAGGCTGCTGTTCCTTCCCTGCATTGTGTGTTCACAATGTTCAGATGGTTGGAAATCCCTCACACTCTCTCGTGCCTTCGTTATTGCACTAGTTTCTGTTGCTCTTTTAGCTTTTAGTGGTTTTCTGGTCATCTCTGGTGCTCCTTGGCTTGTGGATGCCTCGTTCCAATCTCTGCCTTCATCTCCACATTGCTTTCTCCCATGTGTCTGTTTCTGTATCCAAATTTACCTTTTTTAAGGACAGGGTCATATCAGGTCAGGGCTCACCCTAATGACCTCATCTTAATTCGATCGTCTGTGAAGACTAAATTTCTGGGTCACATTGAAGGTCACATTCATAGGTACTTGGACTTAGGACTCTAACTTCTTTTGAGGGGACACAATTCAACCCGCTCACAATCACCAAGGGTCTGCTGACAATAGTCAGTTCCACACCTGAGACTGGGATCCTCACCTGTTGCCACAGCCCTTCCTCCCAATTTCTACCGAGCACCCCGCCGGTGTCTCCTGAGCAGCTCCGGCAGCAGGTGGAAGAGCTGAGCTCTGCTCTCTTCACCTCCGGTCTGCTCCTCCCACGTGGCCCAGGGAATGACACCACTACCAACGTGGTTCATGCCCAGAAACGTGGGCATCCTCCGTGGCCCCCTTCTCTCTCTCACTTATCATAGTTGTCCATAAAATCCCGCAATTTTGACCTCTTACTAACTCTCCAATCTCACTGCCACTTTCCCAGTTTAGGCCACTAGGCTGCTTTACCGAGATTATTGCACCTGTCTTCTAACTGGCCTCCTTTTTTCTCTTCTTGTCCAAATCCAGCCCAACTTCTGCAAGTGTGACAAAGTGAACTTTTCATAGTGAAATTCACTCATAATTGCAGTTCCCAGCTTGAAACTCCTTTGGCTTTAGGATAAAGGCCCTTTAAAATCTATCCCATGTACCTCTCCAGCCTCATTTCTGCCTGCTCCCCTGTCACTTCAGTTGTTCTGAGCTGCAGCATTTGCAGTCCCCAGGTGTACCCTGCTTTCTCTTGCCACACCTCTGGAGCTTCGCACATGCTGTTCCTTCTGCTGGGAGGGTCTCTGCTCCACATCCCCCTCCTCCAGCAGCTCTTTAGAGTTTACACTTCAGGTAGGCCTCACTTCCTCTGTCCAGCCTCCCCTAACTCCCAAGAGTGTCCACAGTTTTCTGCCCTGCTGCAGCGGGACGGGTAGGAATTGCACCTGACTCATTCTTGTATCATGAAGTCTAACGCAATGGCTGGCGGGAGGGTGGCTGCACAGGTGGGGGGGGGGAGCAGTGCAGCTGCAAGAGGCCCAGTGCTCACAAGAGCCCTGCACTTGAGTCTGATGCTCTGTGGCTGCTGACTTTGAGCTTGTGTTTTGTAAGTGAAGTCCAATGTGGCAGTGGCCCAGCACTGGGGGTCCCGCCCCACCCCCACATCCCCAGGATGGATTCTTAGGTGCTCACTCCCTGACTTTGGTCCAGCAACTTCTGCTGCTCTCTGTGCCCAGGGGGACCTGGGCAAGGGTGTGGCTCTGAGACACAGGGATGGGACCCAGGCACCTGTGAGAGTCTGCACTGGCCCCTACAGTATCCCCAAGGCAGGCCACTCCAGTAAGATGCAGGCTTCCTCCAGTACTCTACTTTGGCTTGAGGACTTCCATTAGCCTTGCTGAATCTTTCTGGAATTATGCTGCAGTCCAGAGAGATCAAGAGATAGAGGAAGGAAGGACAACGATTTTTCCTAATTTTTGGCCCCACATTTTCATGCTGTAATGAGCCCTGCCTGGCATATAGTAGATACTCAAAATGGTTGAGTTTTAGTCCTTTTAAATCTCTCTAATTCCTTCCACATTCACTCCACATTCCTTCCTTTTTACTTCCATGACCCCAATCCAGGACCAAGCTCTTCTGCCCGACTATTTCAACAGCCTCTTGTTCGTTCCTGTATTCCAGGTGCTTTTTTGTAGAGGGTTTGGCACAGCGCAGGGCCTCAGCAAGTCTGTGATGAATAAATGAACTAATTAAATAAGTAGGAAAAGTAGTCTTTAAAATAGCCTGTTGTCAGTTCTGCAGGCTAAAGTGCTTTGTTAAAGTGCCTCCCAGGTATACCATTGATAAATATCTCTGGGAATTATTTAATCAGTTCTGCACTCTGGCCTCTGCCAGGAGGTGGTCAGAGCCCTGGGCTATCCGTGTGGGAGGCCCCCAGGGGCATACTGTCTTCCTTCACATAGGGGAGCCCCGCAGCAGGCTGTGGGTGCATAGATAGGGGACCATAGAGGCTTCACCGGGAGAAAGCTGTTTCTGAGGCATTTGGATGACCAAGGGGCAGAGTTTGTCACCAGAAATGAAGACCCATCAGGTCTTCAGTGATGTGTATTGCAGGCCACATCTTGATACTAACAGCCTGTGGAAAGAGGAGGAGATTCAGACAGCTTACACATGAAGGGGACAGGTTGTAGAGACAGTGGTGTTGGATTTGGGTTTACCCTCTATGCTTTTGGTTTACCCAATGAGGAATGGGCCTCTAGGATGTTTGCTAGAATGTGTGGGGAAATTGCTGAAGAAGCTATGCGAGGCTGCCCACGTCCTGGCTGGGTTAGCCTCTGCCACTTTGGTTTCACTAATGCTCAGGGTGGGTTAAAATGTCCATTGGGCTGAATCTGCTTTGCCTTCTGTCTTGCTTCATTTGGGCTACTATGACAAAAATAAGGCAAACTGGGTGGCTTATAAATAACAGAAATGTATTTCCTACAGTTATAGGGGCTGGTAAGTCCAAGCTCAAGTGACCAGCAGATTCAGTGCCTGGAGAGGGCTCTCTCTCTGCTTCATGGATAGTGCCTTCCTGCCGCATTCTCCCAGGGTGGAAGGGGCTAGGTAGCTCTGTGGCATCTCTTTAATAAGGGCACTAATCTGACTCATGAAGGCTCTGGCCTCATGGCTTAATCATTTCCCCAAATCCTCACCTCTTCATATTACCACTTTGGGGACTAGGATTCAACAGAAGAATTTTGGGAGAACAAAAACATTCAGATCATAGCACCTTCAAAGACCCATCACCCAACCTAGGTTTCCATCTAGGCAAGCACAGAAGTTATGCCCACCCCTTACTGCATTGGCTACATCCTCTAATGCTCCAGTGGCTCTTACAACTGGGCAACAGTCAAGAAATTCATAACTATGATGCCAAAAATAGCACACACTACTGTAGCCACATTCTGTTGGCAGTGTGCCAAGAAGTACATTTAGTGGCCTTTATAATACACTGAATTGTTTTATTGGAGTGGGTGTAGTGTTCTGTGGCTCACACACTTCAGTTCCAAGCAAGGTATGTCTGTCAAGTACTGTTGGACAGGTGCCACTGCTATGGAGGGGAGCATAGTCAGTGTGTGGTTCCAATGGCCACCATGCGTGAGGCCAATGGCCATGGTGTGTGGTGCCAATGGTGACTCATGGTGAGTACAGTGAGATCAGCATCTTGGCAATTGCAGCAGCTGTAAACCAACAACTGATTCCCCTCCATTCATTTCCTTTACCAACAGGAGATAGAAGTCACAGACTGTGGACAATTTGGAAGTTCTTTCCAAGGCCTTTGTGGGATTCACTGCTGCGTTGACACTAAGGCTGCACTTCCTGAAGGCTGCTCCCAGCTAGTGACAGCACGGCATGGGTGCTTGCAGGCCCATCCTAGCAAGATGCAGGATTGCTCCCATAGATGACTTTGGTTCAAGCCCCTCCAGTAGTCTTGCCGAATCTTTCTTGAGACTGTGCTGCAGTCCAAGACCCTTTCCCCCTCAGTCCTCCTTGCTTCTTTCTCTCCTTTCAGAGATGTCAGGGTTAAGTCATTTCCCCTGATTCTCCTGCTCTCTCCTCTAACAATTCTGTTGCACGTCTAACCCTGTTTTAATGTCTGCTTCTCCAGTACCCAAATGAATGCATTCCCTTTCCCCATCTCCCCATCCTCAGGGATAAGTAAACACTTTAGGTTTCTGGCTAACGGTGGGCTGTTGGTGCTTGGGATCAAAGCACCCACTCAAGAGGTGGAGGAGAGAGAGTTGAGGAGCAGAACCTGGGGAGGGGCCTGGGGTTTTGGCGTCTGTGAACATTGTGGAAACTGTTTATACCTCATGCTCAGGCTCCAAAGAAGGAGGGTACAGAGGCCTTGATACCAGTGACAACAGTGTCCACGCCCTGGCCTGCATTCATTTAGGAACACAACAGTAAGGAGTGACTCTGAGCCTGCAGATGTGGTGGCAATTGAGAATGGTAAGGACCAGAATCACAGACCCATAAGACATTCTCCATTTCCCAAGCACAGCAGAAGTCTCCAGCATGTAAGTACAAAGAAGCTTAGTGACGGGGAGGACATGTCTTAAAAAGGCAGAGACTGAATTTATCTCCCATGCTGGAGGCCTGGAGTCAGGTTACATATGATGTAGGGAAATGAGGTGACCATACGTTTCTGAGATCTAAGTGTGGTGGAAGTCCAAACAAAACATCTGCATGCTTAGCAGAGTGGGCATGTTCTCCAAATGTGGCTGGAGGCAAAACAGTGGAATCTTACACGTTCTCAAGAACAGTGACTGAGGCTAGAATTTGTAAACAAATGCAGGGTGTGGCAGTGGAGCTGTGTT